ATGTGTTTTTACCACAATTTTTTAAAAGAGCCATCATACAAATGGAACTGTTTAAAGTCCTGTGCAGTCTTTAGGATATCATATGAGGGTCACATGCCAAAGCAAAAAGCAAATTAATTTTTTATTATTTTTTAATATTTTATTAATTTTTTACAGAGAGGGAGAGAGATAGCTAGAAACATCGATGAGAGAGAAACATTGACCAGCTGCCTCCTGCACGACTCCTGCCCCCAACTGGGGATGTGCCCACAACCAAGGTACATGCCCTTGACTGGAATCGAATCCGGGACCCTTCAGTCCATAGGCTGACGCTCTATCCACTGAGCCAAACTAGTTTCGGCGCAAATTAATTTTTAAAGAAGAGGGTCAGTTTGTTGATATTTTTTAAACACACATGAGTCCCAGACATATTTAAAGAGGCAGAGGGGGTTTGACGTTGTCCTGGCTCAGACAAGTGTCAGGACCCGGGACTCAGTGGAGTGTTTATTAGGCACCGGCTGTAGGTAAGCCTGTCACAGGGTGAGGGGAACCTCAACATCGTCTTTGCCCATCGTCTCTGCACAGCCGCGATTGATCGGTTGGGATTCGAAAAGCTGGGGCTGGGGTAGGACTGACTTTGGACTCCCCGAGCCTTGGCAAATGTCACAGGTGTCTCCCATGAAGGATGAGATGCGTGCCAGCGAGATTAAGGAGGGTGAGGCCAAGTTAGCAGCCAAGGAAGTGGTGGGATGGGGGTGTAGGCATGGCAAACCCCAGAAAACGGGAATCCTGAAGTGAAGGGGAGTGTGAAGAGCTACAGCCTTCATGGCGGAAGGCCTAAATGAGGACCCCTGAGCCTGCTGACCTGTCCCCTCATCCCTGCGCTGAACTGGCAGCAGCCCCTGCTGAGGGGGTGGGTGGTGTGTGGCGGCCGGCGCTGGCAGACATTCCGTGAAGCACCTGCTCTGACAGTTGTTACATCGCAGAGGTCAGCTTAGCCATTGTCCTGGTCTCTGCCTGGGGTCATGCGACGTGAGTCATTGTCTCTATTCGGGGGTCAGTGACGTGGGTGCTGGGTCATTGGTGTTCTACCCCTCATCCAGCCAGGGGTGGTCTGACGGGGTCAGCCAGACCGGCCCAGTGACACAGTCCCCTGTCCTGCCCCGCAGAGGCGAGAAGTACGGCTTCATCACGTACCGGTGTTCGGAGCACGCCGCCCTCTCCCTGCGGAACGGCGCCGCCCTGCGGAGGCACAACGAGCCCTCGTTCCGGCTGAGCAGCGGGGGGCTCCGGGGCTTCTGCTGGCCCAGGTACACCGACTACGGTAAGTCCGCCGGCCCCCACGGCCCCTGAGACCCGGGGCACCAAGGGCGAGACCTCTCCCTCCGTGAACCACAGGCCGGATGCCCCATCCGGACACAGCTCCCAGCCCCGGCTCCCTGTGCCAATGCGGACGGCTCTGCGGCCACTTCCCTCGTGGCCACCGCCTTGCTTTCCTTCTGGTCTCTGGGCCACTTCGTCCTGTCCTAGGACCGGCACTAAAAAGAGATCCAGGTCTCCCGGGGCCTCTTAGAAGGTCCAGTCGTGTGCCCAAAGCCACGTGGCAGCACATGACCTCACAGCACCCCTGGCTGCCCTGCCCCCCCTGGAGGGGCATTCCGTGGTGGCCCCCACAGCAGCAGCCTTGTCCTCCCCATGTGGGGACAAGCTAGGGAAGAAAGACAAAGACGTACAGTCTAGGAGAGAGTTATTTGCAGGGAAGAGTCCACTGCAGCCTCCTTAGTGTCAGGGAGCTGGGAGGGTCCAGGCTGGGCAGCGCTCCCCCTGGCGCATGCCCATTTCTGGGACCCAGGTTCATCGCCAGGCAGGAAGGACATCCTGGTTTTGTAGGCTGCCTTAGCCCGCATGCACCAAGGCTTGCTAATGGGCAGGAGGCTCTTGAGGGAAGTAGAATTCTAGGATCAAAGAACCCTGGGGTGCTCTAGATCATCCCCCCCATCCTACCAGTGGCCCTGAGACGTTGGCAACACAGCAGATGTGGGACAGCAGAGTGGCAGAGCGGTCGCCCGCCGTTCAGGGCTCCCCGAGGCCTTGGGCCATGTGCTCTCCGTGGTGGCAGATTTTCCGATCATACGTCCTTCCTCCCCGCGTTGCTCACCGCCTTCCCCACTCACCGACTCCTCCGCCCCCGCCCAGATTCCAATTCCGAGGAGGCCCTCCGCGCGTCCATGAAAAGCAAGTACGAAGCCATGGATTTTGACAGCTTACTGAAGGAGGCCCAGCAGAGCCTGCGTTGATCACAGCCTTAACCTTCGAGGAATACCTCAATACCTCAGACAAGGCCCTTTCAATATGTTTACGCTTTCAAAGAAAATAAGTACTATATGAGAAGGAGAGAGAGCGAGCGAGCGCATGAGAGAATACACATGAGAGAGAGAGAGAGAGCGAGAGAGACTTGAAACTGCTGTCCTTTTGAAAAAAAAAAAAATGATCAATGTTTACATTGAACAAAGCTGCTTCTGTCTGTGAGTTTCCATGGTGTTGACGTTCCACTGCCACATTAGTGTCCTCGCTTCCGACGGGCTGTCCCGGGTGCGTCTCCCAAGTGCTGGGTCGGTCACCCACCTCCCCCACCCCGACTGACTTCCCCTCGTAGACGTGCAGCTGTATCCGCCATAGCATCTCTTGTCCGTAGCGTGTGATGATGAAATTGTTACTTGTGAATAGAATCAGGATTATTATAAACTTGTTTTTAATTGAAGAAAAAAGTATATCCTTCAAACAATGTATTTATTGGCTCAGATGTGCTGTGCCTGGGGTCATTGTATCGCTTCCTTGATTTTTTTAACTATGCACTGTCCCGAGGTGTTTGCCACTGAGCTGCTCTGCTCCCTTTGCGAGGACGCCCCACGGGTGCTGGGGGGCTGAGGAAGTGCGGCCTGTCGTCCCAAAGAGAGGTTTCGGGGTCTGGCCTGCCAAGCCCTGCCCTGCCTCTCATGGAGCGGGTTGGGTCCAATTACAGTCACTGCCCAGCTCACACTGAGAGTCCCTGCCTGGCCGTGAGTCCTCAGGTCTGCAGAAGGAAGGCAGTTCCCCAAGAGGTGAAATGACCTGCGAGGTCCCACAGGCAAAGCAAAAACCAGCCTGGGCCTCCTGATTCCTGGTCCCATGCTGCCACCGTAGCCGGGGTACAGAGGCCACGTTCCAGGGCTGCTAAGAGGGGAGGTCAGCTACCTTGGGCAACAAACTAGAAACCTGCAGGCTCATCATGGGAGTTATGGCAGCAGCCAATTCGGCAGCACTGGGTGAGTCCGAGCTCTGGCGTGCGTTTTGGTCCACAGGTCCTGCGGTGTGCCTGTTCCCGTGGCCGCGCTGCCCGAGCTTCAGGGACACACCCGGAGCGTCACGGACAGGTGGTCTGGGAGCAGTCATCCCTCCTGGACCAGTCGCCACCCTATCGTACCCCCTCCAGCTGGTCTGTCCTTGGCCTCAGCTGTCAGGTTGTGTGGGTGGCATGGGAGAGGGAAGCAGGAAGAGGGTTGGGGGCGGATAAAACCAGCTCCTAGCTCCTTTTCAACATAGAAAACCTGAAAGTTGGGCTTTCGTGTACATTTTGGGTTCTCGGGTGATGATGTCGAAGCCATGTCAGGGTTGGATGTTCCTAAGGTGCCTTGGGGGCCATTCGTGAGGGAGCGCGTGGCCGGGCAGGGGCTGAGCGTGTGACTTTTGCTGCAGAAAGAGCAGCTCCCGCTGGGTCTTTTCCAGACACCAGTGTCCCGTGGTAAATTTTCACATTGAAAAAGAGAAGAAAACAGGTCCTGCCGCTTTAACAAAGTTTGAGATTGAAAGTCATTAAACTAAACAAGCTAAGTTAATCTATTGCTAACGCCAGGCCTAGTCCTTTCAGAATTGATAGTTGGTGGTTGTTTTTTGTGGGGTTTTTTTTTTTGTTGTTGTTGTTTTAAGGTTTTCAAATACCTCCGTAGGTGAACTGAGCCGATGAGCTTGTCCTGGGTGGTGAGCGTACTCCAGGTCCACAGAGAAGGCTGGAGGAGGAGGCAGGCTTCAGAAGGGAGAGGGACTTGGAGTTCCTGTGTGACAGGTCACTTGGTCTCTCTGGGCCCCCATTTCCTTTTCTGTGACATAGACTGGGGGAGAATTAGGCAAGGTGATCCCTCAAGGTCCCTGCCAGCTCTACAGCCTTAGCTTCTGTAGTCTCTAGCTCCAGACGTGTGCCACTGCAGTCACATCTTTGGCCGGTGGCAGACATAACTAATTGACCACAGCACTGAAGTTCTTTGAGCCTGGTTGTGCTATTAAAATCTTAAGGCAGACATTACTAATTGATCAGAGTTCAACCTGTTTGACATCTTGGTCTAATCGTCTTAAAAGTTATGGCGGCTGGGTTTCGTGCTGGCCCATTCCTGTCCATCACGTCCTGACCTATGAGAGAAAATTTCCCTGAAGTCATTGCCTGGCACAGGGCTCCCAATATTCCTGTGACACATAATTTGGGGTGAGGCTGGAGACTAGGACAAGCAGGCGTGGACCTGTTTGGGGGAGGCAGGGCTTAGGAGGACGGGCCAATTAAAGGGGCCTCCCGCAGCACAGACATGACCATTCTAAATTCCTTTTATAGCTGCTCACTGCCTAGCACTCAGTAGGCACAGGATACATGGCTGTGGGGTGGGATTGAAAGCCATCTGCTGCCTCCCGAGTCCTCTTTTGCAGCCAGGAGGGCCTTGAGATTTCACCCTGGGGTAGCCAGTAGGAAAGAACGTGGGATTCAGAGTTGGACGAGGCCATCTCTACGCCCTTCCGACGGGCTTCTCCCGTGATTGCACTGGGCCAGGGGTTCTAGTGTGGGCAGGGAGTGCTTTAGGGTAAAGAAATGCAGATTTAGGGAAGGACAGGCCTCTTCCCCTCTGCCAGGCCAGCCGATGCCGTCCCTTCACTTTGGATGAACACAAGGCTCTTGACGTTACTCAAACTCGGCCCTTGAGCAGAGCAGAGATCTAAGCATGGCAGGAGGGAGGAAGGGAGCACTCGACGTGCCTGAGGTCAGAGCTGGGGGGCCGCTGATGGGGGAGGAAGCCTGCCAGGGACATCTAGCAGAATCTGCTCCCCGTCCTCCCCATAAAAGGCCACGGGTTCTAAAGCTGACCGGCCCCGCGGTCCTCCTCTGTCCTGAGGACTCATTCGGTGCTGTGTCTCACCGAGGAGACTCCAAGGTCTCTTCAGAAAAACTAGTCCACCCGGGGCTCTCTCCCACCAACGTAAGGAGTCAGCCCAGAGGGAGCAGCTGCCGTTGGCAACCACCTCGCTGTTGTCGCTCTGTCCTCGTGTTTGCTCTCGATGATGTTTACATGTGATTGCCATGAAGCTTCCTGTAGACTGTGTCAGTCGCCGTCCACGCAGGGCGGGTTGTACTGTCCATCTCTGTGTGCCGTGCTGATGTTTTCCAAAAAAAATATCCGATCCAACCGCTAAGTGGAATTCTTCCATCTCCTTCCTCAAGTCGCTACAAGGCTGAATCAGAACCCTCGCTCTCGGGGGCTCTGGTTACCGAAGGAAAATGCATCAAAGAGGTGAAGATTATGAGTGGATGGAGTGTAGCTAAAGCCCCCACCCCTTGACCCCTTCACACCCTGTCCCCCTAATCAGAACACTGCTTGGAGTCAAAAAGCACCGTGTGGGTGTCTGCAGCATTGCCTGAGGGAGGTGCTCGGGAGAGAGGCAGGGTTTTCGGGGGCGGGAAGGGAGAGGAGGAACACTCTGAGCTCAAAGACGCAACACCTGATGTGGGAAGAGATGACGCAATGAGAAGCTTTCATCGCCCACTGCCTATGCGCCTCAATGTTCTGACAGCAATTTCTTCTGGGCACGTGCCATACTCATGCCCAGGCCGCTGTGCAGGTGGGGAGTGGAGGGAGCAGGGGGGACATGGGCAACAAGATTCTTATGCCTGGACAGATCAGAACCCTACCCTGGGCTCAAGTTCAGTTGATTTCCCAGCTGAGCCTGCAGCTCGGGAGACGGGTCATTCTCACTGTGAAGCAGAAGCCACCCCAGAGGATTTGTCGATCTGACTGACTCACTTCACGTCAGAACCGCGGTCATGCTCTTAGCACTTGGCGATGTAGCAGTCACCTTCAGGCATGACCAAGGCAGGAAGTTGGATGTACAGTAGCAAATAAAGTGAATCTAATGGTTTCATAGGCCAAAGAAGAGGGGACACACCCCCCTCACCCTTCCCCATTGGGGCAAAAGGAAACCGCTGAGTACTTACGTGCAATATGTTCAAGCTGGTCCCAAGTCTCGGAGGCGTTTGCACACACAGATGGGCTCAGGGCTGCTTGCCAACGCCGGAGGCACAGGGTAAATGGAGGGAGGGCTTGGGAGCTGGGAAACCCACTGGCACAGAGATGTCCTTGGCCCAAAACAAGGCGGAGGGGCGGGGGGGGGGGGGGGGGCGGGGACTGTGGGAGCCTGCTGCACGTGGCCCAGGAAGTAGGCAGAGGCTGACGGTGCACTGAACCAATGAAAGCACTTTGAGAAAACCACAGCACGGCAGCCTGGCTGCAGGTGTCCGCACTGGCAAATACTGGTCCTCTCTGGCTGGTGAGGTGCTCTCCTAGGGACTGGGCCGGGCCTCGGGAAGGGGGCTGGTGTGAGGGAGGAGAGAGCAGAGATACCTTCTGAGACATCAGGGGCAGGAGAGCCCATCCTAGAGCTGGCCCTTTGCTGGCCTCTTTGTTGGAGACCCTAGATATAGGGAAATTTAGACCTCGGTACCTTTTTGTTCTTTAAATTGCAACAGGCCAGCTGCCCATTGAAATGGATTTGCAGACCACGTCATTTAACTATAAGCCATCTCAGACTGTGGAAGTCCGTGTGTCTTCCCTGCTCTGTGACCCTGGGCCTCCGTTTCCTCATCCATCAAAGGAGAATATTGGACGAACGCTTAAGTTCCTCGAATAGGCTCCGACGCCCTTCTCTCGCTGTGCCCAGCTCACATTCAGGGTGAAGTTCTCTGCAAGGGAACCAACCAGCAGCCGTTTCACACACACACGGTCCTGGCAGAGCTACCGTGTCCCCGGAGGCCGGCTCCCCAGGACAGATCTAAGCCATAGTTTCTGGTGGGGAGGGTGGGACGTCCCACCCCGGCGTGGCTAGGTGGCTGGCCATGTGCCGCCTCACGTTAGCCTTGTCATCGCCCCCACCAAGCAGCTCTTACCCTGAATGTCCTGACCACATGGCTGTTTCTCTCTTGCTCTCAGATAATACTAGCAATACACTGGTTGTTTTTTTTTGGGTTGTTTTTTTTTTTTTCTTCAAAACAGCTTAACTTAGGCACTTTTCACACATTTTGGTTTTTTTCTTCAAACGATTGTAAAACATACGGGGCAGCAGGAGGCCTCAATCACGCTGCGTATGATCCAGGCAGCTTTTGTTTTTTCATTTCTTTAATGGTATTGCAGCGGGGACTGGAGCTTCGCGGTTTGGAGGGACAGATTATCAGATACTCTGCCTCCTCAGAACACTTTGCACATCTGGAAAGCAGCTCAGAGACCCCACTGCCTGAATCGGGAGCTTGGAAAAACAGTTTTGTAGGTGGTCAGTCCCCGGGGCTGGGCCGCAGCACCTCAAAAAGGTGTTTCTGTATCCAGAAGCCCCTCTGTGCTGTATTTTTCTTGTCAAAGGATCCTTCCAGGAAGCCTAATGAAACCTTTTCCACTTCGCTGGCCTTGCTCTGGGTGATTTTTTTTGAAAGGATTGGTTCGCTTCCACTTCAGCACTTTGCCTTATCAACGTCTAGTCGCCATCTAGTGGCCAAAGACTGTATCCACCAGCTACCCAGATGGAAGGCAAATAAATCCTTTCTGCCACTCTGCTGTCCAACAACACCCAATTTGGGAAGGAAGTGTGATGTCACGAGTGAACTGTCTATACTATTATTTAGAGCCCGGTGAACACTGCTCAGGAGAATTAGGCAGCCACCTAGATGCACACAGACTGAGCAGCACACTAACTCTCCTGTGAGCAGAGGAGTGGGCCCCGGGGCCAGCTGCCCGGGAGGCGTTGACTAACTGCAATCGTGGCCGCCCAGCTGCTGACCTTACGTGAGCCTCTGTTGGGTAGCCCGCACTGCCCCCTCGGGACAAGCCACGAGATTGGGTGTCAGGATTCTGCGTGGGGCTGCCATGGCCTCTGATAGGATCCACCGAATAGCCAAACAGTTTATATACTTTTGTTGTTAGTTCGTTTTTTGTTCCTGTATTTTGTATTTAAAAATCTTGTCAAGTGTTTTTGTGTTAGGAATAAAAAGTCATACACTATTTCCAACTTTGTTTCTTGAGGGATGCTCCGATTCCGAGGGGAACGGGTTGGAAATCTCCAGGGGCGTGTGGTCAGGCTGGCCGGTGGGACAGGGAGGTGGACCACATTGCTCTCCAGGTGGTTTCTGGGGACAGTGACCATCCGGAAGTCCGGCTCAGTGCAATCCACTCCGGAACTTCACACCTAACCCCCTTCACCTCCTTGTGCCACGGTCTTAGCACTGGGTTTGAGCATCTGCTTCTTCCAAGGGCAGCTGCTGATGTGGAAACCACCATCAGATCTCTACCCCCAACCCCAGGTTTCTGAAGAGACAGTATTTGTAGCTAGCCTTAATCCACTGGGCAAGGCGGTCCCCATGTTCCATCTTGGACTCAAATCCTTTTCTCTTGGTGTGACCATGCAGCCTGCCCTCGAGAATTCTGAGCAATAGGAGGCCAGGGCTTTTCCCGGCTCTGTGACAGGGTCAAACCAGGGAATGGCTAACCTTGTGAGGTTTGGGTATCCCCAGGGGTACTTCGTAGGGGGCATTATTTATTAGGAAGCTCAACAAGGTAACTACAGCCTGGTGTGTGAGAGTGCAAGGCTGTGTGTGTGTGTGTGTGTGTGTGTGTGTGTGTCTGTGTGTGTATGTATGTGTATGTGTGGAATTACATTGATGCATTTCTTGAGAAAGGTGCAAGAATTTCACCTACACAGAGGGACACATCGCTTTGTTATTTATAATAGAAAGCTACATTTTAATTTTTTTTTAAAGGACACCGCTAAATGATTGGGAATCTCGAGTTTTTAGTTTTGCTATTTTTTTTTAATTGGTAGAGGATTTATATATATTTTTTCCCCATTGTGTTGGGTTGTGTCCTTATTTATATAAATACTTTGTCCGTAAGAGGCAAGGAAAATACCTTCTTTGCTTTTAATTCTCGTGGTCGTCGCCGTCCCTATTTTATTTCCGGTGTGATTCATCCGTCTTACCTTCTGAATGAGAAAACGTTTCCCCTGTCTTTGTACATTGTCAGATTCTATAGTTTCATAGGTAATTTATCCAGATTGCTCTATGTATTATTATTCTGTGAGTATAAAGTTCTATTTTAACGTCTGTAAATACTTCAGAAACTGGCTTCTTTTCTGACTCCCACTGCGGAGCTATTGTTTACATCACAGAAACTGTAGAATCTCTATGCTCATGTACTGTAAATAGTGAAGTGATCTGCTTATAAATAAACTTAACAAATACACTATGGAGATTAAAAAGGAAATACCACCCACCGCCCTGCCCAGGTGTGTCTTTCTTTGTGGGTTCTGAGTGCTCACGGAAGGGCTGGGGAAAGGATTCTGGTCTTGGCGTCACCTTCTCAGCAAAGACCCCTGTCAAGGCGTCTCCCACACCCCGTCCGGAATTTTCCGAGCTCACTTCTCTTTCCTCCTCAGGTTCACAGCACTTTTCTTGGCTCATAAGGAATCATTCAGACTCCCCTCGCGTAACAGATGGCCCATGACCGGCTTTGGCCGTGACTTTTAGAAAGCTCTACCATTCTCTGCACAAGGACACCCTTGTGTGGGTGTAGCAACGTTTTCACACTAAGTAAATGTGCTGGGTGCGATGTTTTGACATTGTGGTTTCAGGCAGAAACACTCACCAGCTGACAGCTCTAAGGCAGCATTTGCTCAGAGGCGGCGGAGAACAGGTTGGGATTGTCCGCCGCAGTTGTCGGTGAGCTAGAAATGTCTCCCTCGGCTCACCTACCCCCGGCCGGAGCGCCGAAGTGGCATTTTCCAAGACTGAGCCTTGCGAGTGTGTGTATATGTCCTCAGTCTCAAAGCACTCTTTTATCTAGCCTTTATTTTGCCCTAAAGGAGCTGCGTTAATGTTTTGTTTTTTAACGTTAGTCTTTTTAAGTGCAATCTGAGAGCATGATACACCCAGGTGCCCCCAGAAGGTTGAAAAGCTGGTGAAGAAGATCACATACAAATAACAGGTACAGTAAGCCATTCCATCTTATGTGCAAATGATTCTCAGATTGATGTGGGTTTTGTTTTGTTTTGTTGCCTATAGAAATAGTTTGTCATTGTGTGTGTGTGCGGGGGGGGGAGATATTTTTTTCAATCTGGAATTTGTCTGGATTGTTTTGGTGGGAAGGGAATGCGTCATAATTTTTCCCTTTAAAAATGATGGGGTGCCCACACTTAGCGGCGGGTTCCCTGGCAGGAATGAGAGTCATGAGAGAGGTTATGTGATTGATTACTCGATAACTGTCACCCCATTACTAGATGCTCCCTCCAGGAGAACGGGGTGCTGCTCCATTCATGGCAGGGTGCCCAGCCCCACTCGTCAGGAACTCATGGGCGAGTGAGAGGCGCCTGTCCGGGGCCTGATGACTGTGCTGAGTCAGGGAGGCAACCAAGCCACCAAGTCGCAGGTGCCATCGGTGGTGCAAGACATAGAACGGGAGCCTGTGCTTGAGACCCGGCTCTGCCACCTTGGTATGTGCACGCTGAGACAAGGCACCTCTTAGGCCCCTGCCTCTCCAAATATGCAACAAGATGACCCGCTGAGAGGGACTCCAGGCCCTCAGTTAGGTGGATCCTCAGAAGCAGCAGATTGCAGGCAAAATGATAGTAAGCCGGAATCGAGTGTCAGGCTGCTGGGCTTTGAGTCCTGACTTCACCACTTGTCAACTGGGTGTCCTTGGGCAGGTTTCTTAACCTCTCTGGGTCCCTTCCTCGCCATGTGACAAATGAGGCTAGAAATCGATCCCACTCTATGGGGTGGTTTGTGAAGATGAATTTAGACCGTGCACAGTACCTAGGACATGAGAGGCACTTTGTCAACATGAGGTGCAACCCTCATCGTGCGTGGCAAGGATCATGACCCAGGAGGGAAGGCTGAGGACAATGGAACCTGCCCCCGGGGCCGCACCTGCACCAGCAGCACCGCCTGTGTATTCCTGGTGCCCATTGTGTCCTCTATATGTGACGAGCGTAGGGACATGCCTTTGCTTAACAGACCCCTGCTCTGAGAGTATCCACTTTAGGAGGCCAGACAGTCTCATGTGGGAGGTAAGAGACGAGGGTTCCGGGCCCAGCTCCCTGTTGACATGACTGAAGCCCTGGGCAGGGCTCGTGCGTCAGGAGCTCCAATTGACCTGCTGGGGGAGTCCCAGGACCCGTGCCCCGTACACCGTGTTCTCTGAGTGTGGGCTCCGGCTCCCGGAGGGAAGCCAGGGAACCGTGCCGTGAACTTCGCCCAGTCCATCCCCTGGCAGGCCCTCGACCTCCTCATTTATCTAAAAGAGGGAGGTGAGAGCAGACACGTGGTTTAAGGACAGTTCAGAGGAACCGTGTTCTCCTCCTCTGAGCTCCTAGAGCCAACAGCGGCTTGTAGGAGAACCAGGGTCAGAGGAAGCAAACAGACACATCCAGAATATGGGTCCGCTGACACTCTGCAGCAAGAAAAAGATTTAAACCCACTTAAGAGACAGCTACATGTGTAGAACTTGTCTGGGTCAGATTCAAGCAAGACAACTCTTAAAAAGACATAGTTGCGACAATGGGGGAGAGCTGCTGTCCCGAGCTGGTTCTCCAGAAGGCAGCTCTGCAGTGGACCTCACCCTGGAGCTGGGGTGGCCCTGAGAGCTGTGCCATTTTGGGCCAACAGGGCCAGAGCTGAACTCCTGGCATGGGTCAGTCGTTGGCTGCAGGCCACGCAGGGGAAGGCCACACATCTTGGGCGAAGAGTCTCCATGCAGCTGAGGTAATCCCCACGGGCGGCACGGGGCTGTCTGCCGGCAGCTCTCACAGGCACTGGGACCACAAGTCCTCCCTGCAGTGAAGGGTCTGGACACAGCATAACCACCCTGGAGTCTAGGTGTTCATTTGTTGCCTGTGATAATGAGGTGGTTGCATCAGAAAACGCCCAAATGTCTGGAATAATATGTCTGGAATTTTCTTTTAAATACTTCAGCCAAGAAAAAGTTGAAGAATATAAAAAGGACAGATGAAACAAGTGTGGCAGAAACTCCATATTGGAATAGGGGGATGGGTGGGGATTCATTGTATAATTCTCTACTTTTGAGGATGATTGAAAATGTTTAGAATGAAGTAGAAATGAAAGCATAAGGACAAAAAAAAAAAGACTCAATGTGGGCAGTTGAACCTGGCATTCACTACATATTTAATTGATGTCGATGACAGCTAGAATGTTGGTTTCAGCTCAATCAAAAGTTCTCAAGGCTGAGAACTTGAAAGGCCCTCGGTAAGATGTAGGCTAAGTTCTCATTCAGCATGCAAATCCTGTGGCTCTTCTCAAGAGGTGTCCTGTTTGCCCGTGGCTTCAGTGATCTCTTCGCACGCAGGGCAGTGCCATTCTGGTCAGCGGGTCCCCCATGGGCTACTGGATGCAGCAGGACTTGGATGCAGGGGCGCCCCCTCCAGGGCCGGGGCTCCCCCCAGGCTGATTTCCCGTGGCTGCTGCAGTCAGACAGAGACAGCACACCAGGTGAGAGGAGGCTGCAGCATCAACCAAGAGTTGCAAAACCAAGGGCTTTCAGAGGCCAGCAGCTAACCACACATGCAGAAGGCAAGCCAAGTGGAAGGGGAATCTGAGAAAGCAAGAGTGTTTCTCTACACTGAGAAG